TCAGGCACTATGCCACCAGAGCTCCCCCCATATATATATATACACACACACATATACATACATGCATGTTACATGTGAAGGCTGGGCAATCTACTTCCATAGTGATACCGCCTCGGAAACCCAAGGAGGGGTCGTTATGAGTCGGGACTGACTCGATGGCACGTAACAACAACAACATACATTTTATACTTACATATCTTATCTGTATATGAATCATACTGCCGTGGAGTCGATTCTGACCCCCAGCACCCCAGAGAACAAAGTGGAACTGCCCACAGGGTCTCCAGGGCTGTCAGTCTTCAGAGAAGCAAACCCCAAACCACACCCACTGCCATGGAGTCCATTCCGACCCACAGCGCCCCTAGAGGACAGAGTGGAACTGCCCACAGGGTCTCCAAGGCTGTCAATCTTCATGGAAGGAGACTGCCTCATCTTTCTCCCATGGTGTGGCTGATGGGTTTGCTGATCTTTTGGTTAGCAGCTAAGTGCTTTAATTACTGCACTACCAGAGCTCCGTGTGTGTGTGTGTTACATATATTTTTCCACAATTAAAAACAATTTACCACGCGATGCAGCAATTCTGCTCTTTGCTGTGTACCCAAGAGAGCTGAAAGCAGGGATGCCAGCACAGGCCTGGCACCAGTGCCACGAGCACTGTTCCCAGCAGCTAACACGTGGACACATCCTGAGTGTCCGTCAGCAGATGAGGGGTCAGCCAGACCTTGTCCATCTGCACATGCAATGCTACTCAGCCGTAAAGAGAGAAGAAGCCGTGGTCCACGCCACCCACGGACGAACGCTGGCACCGTGGCACGAAGACATCAGACACAGAGACTAATGCTGTGTGACCTCACTTCCAGGAAACCACCCACGGACGAACGCTGACACCGTGGCACGAAGACATGAGACACAGAGACTAATGCTGCATGACCTCACTTCTAGGAAACGCCAACCACAGGCAAGTGTAGACATAAAGCAGCCCCGTGGTTACCAAGGGCGGGTGGGACAGGGGACTGGCGAGGTGCTGCTTAAAGGGTGCAGAGTTTCTGTCTGGGGTCAGGAAGAAACTGGAAATGGACAGTGAGGACGGTATGACAGCACGGAGACTGTAGCGTGTGTAAGCATGGCTGCAGGGCAAACGTTTTGTTACAGACTCTGCCATAATTAAAAGACATGGCTCCGAACACGTGACCCCTAAAGCAGGTGGCCAGGGCACACGGCACGTCCTAGTGATGGTAACACCCACCCACAAGGAGACGTGCGCACAAAACCCGGCCAGAGGGTTCGTGCTGTCTTCCTCCTTGCTCCCGTTTTCCAAATGTTCCATGGGGCATTGCTTCAGGAAGTAATAAGACAGGTGGACCATTCTGGCAAAAACTCACTTCCTCCTGCTAAGTGGGGAGGACAAAAGGGCCAGCCCCTGTCCCCAGCACCTGGCCTGAGCTGTGGCATCCTGAGTCGGGCTCCAGGCTCTGCTAGGACGCCCACAATCCAGAGTTCAAGTCCCCTCCAAGTGGCCATTCAGGCTGGGCTTGCACACCTGTTGGCACAGGGAGCTCACTACCTCCAGTGGCAGAATATACCCATGTGCAGAGGGGCTCCTCCCTGATTTGGGCTTAGGCTGCCTCCCTGGGGCACTGGCCACTCTCTCCTCCCATTAGGGTTCAACCGGAGCATCAAGCACTCAGGGCTGTTACAGGAAACAGGCTGCCAGAGTGCATGGGGTCACGTGGGCATGCATGCAGGGGAGTTGGGAGGTGGCAAAGCCCCAGCCTCCTGGGCATTTGAAGCCAGGCAATAACACCTCCTCCAGGAAGCCTCCCTGGCCTCTACCCTCCCCAGTGGGGTCCTGTGTTGACACCACACCAGGTTGTAACTGTCCACTCTCCATGAAGTAGTGGGGATAGTGGGTGAGGGAGAGAGGTGAATAGGGCAGTGTGAACGTGACCTCTGCTCAGGTACCAGGGTGTGGGGAGCTGCGGGGGGGTTGTGCGGGGTCGTGAATGCCTGGTGGGAGTTGAGGAGGGCCACCCCCCAAGTGAAGCTCAGAGAGGTGGGGGACCCAGCCCAGTGCGTGCCACCCAGGCACCAACCCTCCAGCCCAGGGAGGGCCCTGCTGCCTGACCCTCGGGAACCCCAGCCTCAGCCCGGACGGAAAATCGGACTCATACTGGGCGGCTAGCTGGCCATGGCAGTCCCAGCTCAGCTGCTGGGTTATCCCCAGGGAGCCCCTCCATGGGGCCACAACTCCCCCCTGCAAAGTGGGGTACTTCCAAGTGTCCCACTCACCCATCCCAGCGCCCGGGGGTGAGACCCTTGAGGCCCCAGCAGGGCGGGGGGGAGAGCTCAGGACACGCTGGGCCTGACCCAGCCCCTTCTCTGGACCCCGGGTCAGACTGTGGAGGGCCTGGGGGGGACAGTGGCCCTGCGGCAGACAAGCACAGGGGGGACAGGGCAGAGCCCAGAAACCCCTCCTCCCCCAGAAGAGACACCAGCAGCCCCACAGTGGCCACCACACCAGCCTCCTCCCTGGAGTCTGTTCATTCCGCAAAGGCCACAGGGCCCCCAGGAAACAAGGCCCGCAAAAGCTGGGCACAGTGCAGGGAGCCGGGGCCTGAAAACTTGGTCCCAGAGCAATCTAACACTTACAGGAGGAAAGACGCCCCCACACTGGGCTGCAAGAGCCTCGGTGTGGGCCTGGCAGGAGCCCGGGGAGCCCTGGACCCAGGGCAGGGGAGGAGCAGAGGTCGGCTAAGGTGTCGAGCTGCGCGGGGCCCCAAGGAGCCTGGCGGGGGCAGGGAAAGTCCAGGCTGGGCTCCAGGGGCCCCACGCCCAGTCCCGGCCTGGGAGACCTCTGTCCACACCTCCCTCCACCACCAGAGAGGCACGCCCCCCTCGCAGGGCCCCCTCATGGATCCACAGAGGCTGGGCGGCCTCAGAGCAGCCCCTCTGAATGTCTGTGCTCCCAGAGGGCCAGTGACAGGAGGCCTGAGCACCACGGGACCCAGAACCAGCCTTCGCCCTCAGAGCCCCCATTTGCTCATCTATACAGTGGCCGTCATTGTCCTCGGAGCCCACATGGGGGAACGCTGCTGGACCCCAGAGGCCAGGTGGGACAGTACACAGATAGGGTCCCAGGCCAGAGGGGTGCTCTCAGTCAGCAAGGGTGAGGGGCCAGGTGCACCTCAACCTGACATGGAGTGGGGGAACGGTCGCTATACCACGGGGGGCATAGGAAGGGGTCACCTGCCACAGCCCGCGTTACACTGCCTCCACCCACACAGGCTCCCAGCAGGAGCACTGAAGAGGCAGCCCAGCCCCATATGGAAGGGTGTGGAGATACAGGCCCAGAGAGGTTGTGTGCGTGCCCGGGGATGCCCAGCGAGGGCTGCTGCTCCTCCGAGCAGAGACGGCTGGATGGAGACACGCTTGTTCCACACTGTGAATTATTCAGCGGCTAAGGCAGGAGAGGAGTGACTCAGAGTTTCCCACGGTGCAGCGGGCACTGCACGGACCCCGGGCTGGACGGCAGGCTCGGGCCCCCCCCCCACATCCTGCAATCTCAGCCAGGCCTGCAGTGCCTGGAAAGCCGAAGGGAGGACAGCAAACACAGCAGGAAGACCCACCACGGACACCCCAGGCTCCCCGAGTCTGCCCTGGAGTCGTGGGGCTCATTCATATGGCGAAGGGCTCAGAGCAGAGAACTGCCACCCCCTCCTCACCCCCGAGGATGACAGCCCACTCTGAAGTCCGTGTGGTGCACAGCGGAGTACCAGGGCCCACGCTCGCCAGCCCCCCAGTGCTGTGTTTCTAGAACGTGGGAGTCGGGGTTTTTTTATAGCCACCTATCTCCTTCCCAGCTCCCAGGTCTCTGGGCATGCCCAGGCCAGTCCCATGGCCCCAGAGCAGCAGGTAAGCGCCCCCACAGAGCGTGCCCCTAGCTCCCCATTCTTCACTTCCGGTTTTCCTCTGGACGGGGGAGGCCACAGAGCAGAGTCCGTGGGAAGGTGCCGGCACAAGCCCGGGACGAGAGTCATCCCAGCCCACCTGGGGCTCTGCAGAGATGGCCCAAAGGAGACCCAGTGGACCCGGTCACCCAGCGCCCCAGCCCCCAGGGCTTCTGGAGTGGGATCCCCAGACAGGAAGGAAAGGCCCCCGGCCGGATCCCTGCCCGGATGCCAGCGACAGCAGCCCAGCAACGGGGGTGGCGCTTGGCTTGGCATGAAGCCAGGCCCTGGAGGCTGCTGGGGAGAGCCTGGTGACTGGAGGGGGGCTGCCAGCACCCCCACCGCCACCCTGTTCTCCAGGGTGGGCCACGGGGTGGGCAGAGCTCAGCCCCCCTCCAGCCCAGCCTGAGGCCCAGCCCGGGCCTCCTTCCCCAGGACACTGGCAGCCTGGTCTCCGAGCGGCGTCACCACATGGCCCCATGTGCCAATCCCACAGCCTGGCCACGGGAGCAGAGGGGTCATTACCGGCCAGGAGGGCTGGCGCCGGCCCAGGCCACTCACCCACCCACAGCCCGGAAACGGGATTCCCCGGCTAGGGGTGCGTTCCAGCAGCCTCAGAGCCTCAGGGTCCCCGGGGGTGGTGTCCAGGACCGAAAGGGGCCAGGTGCGACTGACAGGTGGTGGGAGGGGAGGGGATGTGAAGGGAGGGGGCTCCACATAACCCCACATGGGGGTCCGCGGGGTCCCCAGGGCAGAGGGCTGGAGCCTGGAGGGGCAGGAGACCCTCAATGTGGGGGTCTCTAGCACCTCCAGGAGGAGAGCTGTGACCCACGGGAGGGGGGTTTTTCTCTGGGAAGGGGACGGTAATCCTCGGAGGACGGAGAACCGTCCTCTGAAGTGGGGGCCACGGGCCTCAGGAGGAAGGGGGCTGGGAACCACCGGGAGGAGCCTGTGGCCCTGGAGGAGGGGGACCAGGACCCCAGAGGAGGGCGATCAGGACCCTCGGGCAGGAGGGGGTCAGGACCCTGGGGACCGTAGCCAGGCCCGCCTCACCTGCTGGTAGTCAGTGTCCTCGGGTCGGAACCGGCTGCTGGTGGCCTCCCACTGCAGGTCCAAGTGGGGCAGCCGGTGCAGGAGGTTCACCCACCAAGGCGCCGAGTAGCTGACCCCGGCCATGGCGGCCCGGCAGCTCGCTGCTCGGAGCGCGGCGCTCGCGCGGCTCAGGGGCCCTCGGACCCCAGCCTGGCCGTCCGCATC